TGCTATTGAATGCCTTAGAAGTAAAATTATTTGAGAAGAAGCTTATAAATTCCTGAATATTAACGAGAGAAAAATCCCACCTACTACAATAAAAGAAATCTTCAAGCTATCTAACTCTAATCTTCCTCAAACTTTAATAGCAATATCCTAGCTACATATCAATACAATTTATAAAATCTGGTATCATTATACTTCATTAAAATGGGGAGACTCAGATACTATACTTAATTCTATTAGCCCTTTAATCAAAAATCGTATCTCTAAAGAAATATGATCTTTAAAGTCCAATTTGTCTTATAACAAATCTAAAACTACAAAATCACTTTGTAAATATTTAAAATATATATAGATTATTTATAGTTTCTTAATAAAAGAGCACCACCTGCGCCTTTAGTTGCTTAAGCAACAAGAGATAAAAAAAAAAAAAAAAAAGTTTGAGATTTAATGTTATAAGTATTTAAAGCTACTATGTTTTTAAATTTTAGTATTTAATATAAAAAATTTAAAAAAAAATTTTTTTAAAATTTTTTTATCTAATCAGATTAGTATATAATACATTCTGATTAGTTAAAAAGTATTTAAATATATCCAAAATTTAGTATACTTAATGAGAAGTAACTTGGAGCACTATAGTAAGACAATTGTTCTAATCTACTTTCAAACTATAGATCTTTTTTTACTTCTCATAATTTAGTAGTAACTATAAGATACAATATAATTACTAGAATATTAAACTAACTCTATTTATAGACTAATATAAAATCAAAATAAATTACAAATATTTAGAGATAGAAAAAAAGTTAAAAAAATTATTTGAAGATTTTGAATAGTTAGATAAAAAATTAAAAAAAAGCCTTATTACTACTACTCAAATATTTTTTATTATTTGATTATTATATAGTATTATAATTATAAAAGAGTTAGAAAAAACAAAAATAACTACTAAAGAAATTATAATATTTTATATTTCTATATATCTATCTAAACTTAAAAAATAAATTTCTGTTAAAGTAAAATCCTTTTTATACTAACAGCTTTGAGATTTATAATATTAAAGAAATATTAGTATAGATATAAAGACAAATAGATTAATAAAATAATCCCCTGTTGTACTAAGTGTCACTCATGACTGCCTTCAGCATTATTTTTTACACGTGATTAACTATATTTATAATGATCATATTGTAACCGGGAATCTTTCATAGGAAGATTCCTGATCTCATATTGATCATCAGGAATCTCTAGTTTATTAACATTAACTAGATCATTTTCTTTAAATTGTTATATTCTGAACCAGATACTTTAACTAGGTTGGTCTTTTTTTTTAAATTGTTATGCACTAGGCCAGATACGATAACTAGGTTAGTTATTTTCTTTAAATTATCGTACGCTAGGCCAGATACCTTAACTAGGTCAGTTATTTTCTTTAAATTGTTGTGTGCTGGGCCAGATACTTTAAATAGATCGGTTATTTTCTTTAATTGTCATATGCTAGGCCAGATACCTTAACTAGATCGGTTATTATCTTTAAATTGCCATGTGCTGGGCCAGATACCTTAATTAGATTAGTTATTTTCTTTAAATTGTCATGCGCTAGGCCAGATACCTTAACTAGGTCAGTTAAATTGTCATGCTAGACCAGATACTTTAACTAAGTCAGTTATTTTCTTTAAATTGTCATATGCTGGGCTAGATACTTTAACTAGATCATTTATTTTCTTTAAATTGTCATATGCTAAGCTAGATACTTTAACCTAAAATATTAACTCAGAAAGTGTGTTAATTATATTAACAATTTACTTTTTTTCATATTAAATTCAACTAACAGTTTAACATTATTATTATTAAAACTATTATACAGTATTGAAAGTGATATTGATACTTATATTGTTGCAATTTTTAACAGAAATTTTTGGGAATTTTAATTCTTCATTATCCAATTTGTCATCTTTGAATGTTTCAGATTTCTTATACCATTTCATTGAATATAATTCAGATGCTTTTGAAAATCCTAAAAAAACTATAAATTATAACTTAAAATAAACTTAAAGACTATGAATATCAAAATTACCTTGATTGTTATGATAGACGTCGAATCATTCAAAACCAAGTGAGATTCTAGTTCATGAGTAGAAGTTACTACCAAATGAGAACCTAGTTCTAAAAAAAAAAGAAAAAAATGTATTATAGTATAAATAATTTAATAGTAAATTGCATAATGATACTTTACCTGCTTCATTAATAGGAATTAACCTAGAAACATTATCTAATTTGTGCTTTACAGATTGATGTTGATAAGCAGAAACTCCAGCGATTGTTTTATGTCGTAAAAAAATCATTTGCTCATTGAGCGTCACATCAGATTCCATGAGACTATAAATACCTGTTGACCGCATTGAATGATTTGTAATTGTATAACCCTTTAAATCTAATTTTGCAGCAATATATATTGTATGCATCATTGTATTGTGTGACCCTTTTCCTAATTTAGTTGGCAAGTACCATTCACTATGATAAATATTTTTTTTAGTATTAATGCCGACGAAAAAATAATCATCTTCAGTATTATCTATATGTTTTGATAAGTATTTTTTGATATCTGCCACTGGTATATATATGTTCTCTAAAGCATCAGGTGGTATAAAACTAATGCCAGCTTCTGTATATAGATCTTTAATTCCTCCGACATGATTTTTTTCTTTAGGTAATTTAAGCTGCATTCCACTATTATCTAATTCCTTAAGCCATTAACCTTTTAACTGTTTAGCATCACTACCTCTTAAGCAGCATAACAATGATAACCAAAGCCAAACCTTTTGTAAAAGACCTCTAGGAGTATCAGTTGATGTAGCAGGTGAGTTAAGTATTAATTTAACTTCATCAGACTCTAGTAGATCTGATTGTTTACGATTTTTATTTCCTTTAACAACAGTGATTACATATGACCATCTAATTTACGATGCAAACTTTTAAATTAGTGTTTGTTAAATAAATTTATAATTCGAATGTCCTCAAAGACTTCAGATATTTCTTGTGCTATTGCACAAAATCTAGTATAAAGCGAAGAAGCTTTATATTCTTGACTATTTGACTTATGAATTTCAACTATAAATTGCTCAAGCTGGTCTGATAGTGTTTTATTGTCAAGTTCTTTAATCTCATTCGAATATTCATGAAGTTTGTAAAACCTATTAAATAGATCTATCCAAATATTCATTGATTTGTCAGTGTTTTTATTTCTTGATGCTTGCTGAACTTCTTTAATTTCTTCTTGAGTTGATAAGACAAACTGAGAACTAGATCTTGTCTTCTTTTTTTTGCTTTTTTTTTTAATGTTTATAAAATAATAAAATGCAAATAAGTAAAACCATAAGTAAAAGTAAAGACATAAGTACAAAGTAAAAAGTAAAAATGCAAGTAAAGCAAAGTAAAAGTAAAATGTAATAAAGTAAAAAAAGTAAAATGCAGTAAAGTAAAATATAAATAAAGTAAAAGTGTAAGTACAAAGTAAAAAGTACAAGTAAAGAAAAAAAAAGAAAAGCGTAATAAAGTAAAAGTTAAGTACAGTAAAAGTGAAAGGTACAGTAAAAGTAAAAGATGCAGTAAAAGTGAAATGTGCAGTATGAATTTATGATCATTATAAATATAGTTAACATGTGATAAAATAACGACACATACAGTTCGATTAACATCTAGTGATATGCTCCTGGGGATTACCTATTTATTTCCTGGGGGGAAATTATAGCAGAGGTTCTCAATAATCATAGCATGTGAGATGGCCTGAAGGGCTATCCCACTGCTATGATCATCAGGAACCTTTGCTATAATTTCTACTCCCCTAGGAAATAAATAATACAGATTCTACTATAACAAAAATATTAGGTTTTAATACTAAATAACAATTCTGATTTAAAGAAAAAATTATAAAAATTAAATATATAATTCACAACTTTGTCTAATTGACTAGAAGTATAAGAAAAAAAATTAGTCAAATTTAACAAAATAAATATTAGAGACTAAGTATAATATTCTAAAGTTTAACTATAAAAAAAATATAATCTAACCTAACAAAAAAAGATAAATTAATATTAACAAAGTACTAGAATACTAAATTAGAAAAGAAAAACAAATAATATATCTTCTACTTTATATATCTTAAAAAGTCTTCAATTTAAATATCAAAATTAATTCAAGAATACTATAATGTAAACAAAAATTATTAGCTAAAAATCTAATATATAAAATTTTTTAATACTAAAATTATTGAAGAGTCTAAGATTAAAAAGAAGAAAAAAAAAAAAGAAAGTATTAAAATACTAAAACAAAAAAGAAAAAAAAATTTGAAAGATCAGAAAATAAATATATTTCTAATTAAAAAATTCTATTTTACTATAGTTCTAAAAGAGCCAAATATACCAAATATTAATATAAAAAAAGTTTTATATTAAACTGATATACCTG